ACAAAAACAAGTCCAAGTCACGACACATGTCAGCTAATCAGTAGCTTGGCCTGCACCGTTTTCAAAACATGAGAGGGAACCACGCCCCGCTATTTTTGAGAATAACAGGTAAAAAAAACGAATAATCTGACAAATGCAAAACAACAACAATATTAAAAACAGCTTCAGGATGATGTCAAAGGTGAGATCTGGGATGAGAAACAGTAAAAACGGATCCTCCACCCCACAGCCCATCTGTCTGCTTCTCAAGTGTCTTCTGAAGCCGCCACGCCCTGCAGTCCTTATCTGGAGACGCTGAGCTCTGGTCCTGCTCCGTCTCTCAAACATTTTGGCATCCCTCTACGTTATTGTCTGCAGCTATGCGCTCTTGCACCGACGGCCCACCCAACTCCTTACCCTGAACGACTCGTGACAGAGTCCAGATTTTCCCATCTTTCAAAGGGACACGTTTTTATTTTTTTATGTTGTGGCTCCAGCTTTGATTTCACACGGTGTCTTTGCACGAGTGCTTTTGGTGAGTTTCATCGTGTTGTTTGAAAAACACAGCAGCCTGATGTTTAAAAAAAAGGGGGAGGGGGGGGAGCGTGACCATAGGAATGAGAGGAAAAGAGTTGGTGGTTGAGGGGGAGGGACATTCTTTGCCGACACGAAGGGATAAGAAGCAGCTTCGGTAAAACGTAGATAACACACATGTTAAAGATATTAGGACGCTAAAATGGAAAGAAAGATGTTTCTGATTAAAAGAAGCACAAACAAGAATAACGAGGCGCTTACTAAAGCCTACAAATGAGGCGAAGCTGGATTATTATTATTATTGTACCACAAAAGCCGCAACTCTTAGATGATTAGCCATTAAAAGATGAACAAAACATTTTGATTAGATTGTTATTCTGGTAGAAATATTAAGACATTCCTGCTCAAACTGCACTAGAAGTGCTACAGACAGCTGCTGCCGCTATCTGCGCTTAGAAATAATTTGAGAATTGAATAGAATGTAACATAAATACTCATGTTATGCAACAGTGATGGCGATGTAAAACTTTTTACGATAGTAGTAAACCACTTTGATCGCTCTGCTCAGACTAGCCATGGGCTCATCAGTCTGATCAGAATGAACCTCTATCTATCCAAACTGAGACCAGTGTTTCCTCTACCATTATACAAAGAGAGCGCTCCGCCCTGTCAACAGAACCGAGCACCCTGCCTACCGAATGTCCTTCGTTCCCTCCCCCAAGCCCGTTGACAACTGTCATCAGTGACATAGTGCTAAACTAGCAGCGCACAATAAAGACGCGCTAGCAAAAATGCTACAGATGTAGCGCGCCGCTTCTCTCACCATTCTCCGTTGACAAAACAAAATAAAAATAGATGAGCGCTCTATAAGGTAACTGATCTAGAACACTGGAGACAATCGCTATCTACACCAGGTAAGATATTCACTGTTCGTAATCTTTAACAGAAAACCTGACTAGTACAGAAAATTCTGGCGTGTCCCTTTAAGACTTTCTCAAACATGCACATTGAAGACAGACATGCCATCACCTGTAGATCAATCACTGCCTCCCTAAGATCATATATTTATAATGCTTTTGTCTACAACAACCAAACCTGGTCCTTAACTCTTTGAAATGCCCTGAAATCAACTAGAATGACATTTATTTAACTGTGCAGATAGAGTCTGTAATGAAAATTCAAATAACGAAATCAAAATTAAACTGTAATTTTTCATTTATGTAGAACTTGGGAGAAAAAAAAAGGTACCATACTTTTCGCCACATAGGTCACACCTTTTTCCATAAATTAGCATTCCCTGTGTACTTGTACAGTGAAGAGACTTATCTATGTTTTTTCCCCATATTTATAACCCAATTTTTAGCTGAGATTGGACGATTTCATTGATTTTGACATGGAAAATATTGAACACTACCATTTTCAGCCACTAGATGGCCTTTGACTAATATGGCAAACCAAGTGTCTCATTAATAGGTAAAATTATCTATTAATGAGACACTTGGCTTGCCATACCAAGCCACCTTCGTCTCGATCCGGAACTCGTGAAGCAAACGTCAAATCAGCTGCATTTCACCGCGCCACCCAGGTGAAATGCAACTGATTTCACCATTAAAGTGCATTTATTAAGGAAAAGTTCAACTGAAACACACCTTAACTATAATGTTGAGCAAACAAACAACTGTTTTTAAGTGTTAATCTTGTTAAATTCTTGTTAAAGTCCTCCCATGCACACTCCCGTGGCTGTCATTTGGCAGCCAACTCATTTGGCGACTTATATGGCAGTGCAACGTGTACGGCGGCACGTACGGTAATTGTATCATTTTTAAAAGACAGTTTGCATGAGACCAACAACTCAATCCAACGCTCAACGTCACCCGAACAGAACAAATCCCACACATCGAGCACTGAAGTACGTTATTTGTCCAGTAAAGAAGATGCCATAATAGATGTGATTAAAAAGTAAGTTTTTTATAAATAATGCTCTTCAAGTTCAAACATCACCATGTTCAGACGCAGCTGCAGAAAAGTTGTAGAAAGTTCAGATTCCATTTTCTCCACATTTCTGCCTGAAGCTTTTGTCAAAAAGTGACCTTTAATGGTAAAAACAGCACAACTAAAGACAGAATGTTTTATATCAAAAAGTTAGTTCCTACACCACTTTTGGCTACAAACCTGAGGAAGACGTTTTAAAACAGATGAAGGTGAAAATAAAAACATAGAAGTAACACGATGAGAAAAAAGTGCTTAATTAAACAAAAGTAATTTCTTTTGTATCTTGGATTGATTTGATGCGTCTTCGCTTAACAACTTATAGTTGCAAGATTTTATTCCTTTATTGAATCTGATTCATATGTGAGCACTTCCCATGAGTGCGACACAGAATATAAGAGGCCTGAAACAAATGCAGACCCAAAGACCTTGCAGGGATGCATATCGCCCGCCGCCTTGTGTGCCAGACCTCCAACACTTCATGATGAAAAATGATGGAATTGTAGTCGTGTTGGTCAAACCTTGAAAATAACGTTCACTCTCGGCAACCACCACATCAAATATCAGATAAATATCTATAAACCTGAACTACAGCCAGTTGGCTAAAGTCAATTAGCTGTGGCAGCCATCTTGAATTGGGTTGACTTGGAAGGTAAATCAGTTGTACGTCCAATAATCGTCAATTCCGAGAGTTTCATTCAAATCCGTCCTGTTGTTATTTTGCTAACAGAAAGAGTTGGGCACAAATTGTTAACCCTCAAGCTTCACAGAGACACCAAACATTATATGACGGGATTTCCTGGCGCTATGGCAGCCGGCAGAGAAAAATAGTCGACTGCAAAGGAAGAGAACTTGGATTTAAAGGTAGATCAGCAACGACTACACCAAACTTTAGGTCAATATCTGACAAAGTGACAAAGTTACATCATTCTTTGCAAATTTGTTTTTTGGATAACTGGCTGTGGCAGCCATCTTGAATCTATCATCTGTTTACTGTATTTTTCGGACTATAAGGTGCACTTAAAATCCGTTAAGTTTCTCAAAAATCAACAGTGAGCCTTCTAATCAGGTGTACCTTATGTATGAAAACAGACCCGTTCATTGATATTGTGCCTTATAGTCAGAAAAATACGGTATCAGTTGTAGATGCATTTCTAAAGAATACCTTCTGCAAGTTTCGTTAATCCACCAAGTGGTCAAGTTCAAGGTTCTTTATTGTCATTCACATCACATGTGGTACATGAGGTGGAACGAAACTGTGTACACAGGGTCCCAGTTACATCCAACAATAGCAAAAATATAAAGCGTAAAAAGAAACAGTAAATAAGGATCTAAGATATATAAACCAAGAAATAGGCCTGTCACGATAACTAATTTTGCTGGGCAATTAATTGTCTCAGAAATTATTGCGATAAACGATAATATTGCTTGAAATTTGACAATAATTAGTAATTATTGTCAAATTTAAGAAGAAATGTTGGTTAATTTTATTTTGAATGTAGTACCTTTTTTGACCACCAAATGGCAGTATAAGACTATTTGAACCAAAGGATGGATAGTGAGGGAGCAAGCAGTAAGAAAATGGGAGGGAGGCCTCTTGACATGACATGGGCAGTCTCCTTCCTTTCTTCCCGGTTCTCAAAATGGGGGACGCTCTGTGTGGATTGAGCTCTTTAGCATAGCATTTGTCACACAAATTTTTTAATTAAAAAAATCAGTAAACAAGTTCTCAGCTTCTTTTTGCTGAGAAGAACTTTTTACACGAAGGCACGGATTTCAACTGTGAATTTTGGAGCTTCAGCAAGACGGATTCTCAAGGCAAAAACACGATTTTGGACAGTAAAATAGATTTTAAAGAGAAAAGAAAAAGGGCGGGGTCAGTGAAGAACACCAGAGTTGAGCCTTTTGTCATCCAGTGTCTTCAGTAGAAAGAGAAACGCACGAAGAAACGATAAAGACGATAAATGAAAATGAGGTCGATAATTTTCATTCATCATGTAATTAACTGATTTATTGTTTATCGCGACAGGCCTACTAAGAAATACACTAAACACTAATAGTGCAAAACAATCAGACGAACAGCAGCAGCACGAACATGAGTCTGTGTGAGTGGAGTACAGATGAATACAGCAGCATGAAATAATCAGCAGCATGAGATCAGCAGCATGGATAACCAGCAGCACATATCACCAATCAAAGGGGCATTACAGTGATTTTTTTTTCACAGTTCATGATATAATTTGGTAATGAACACACTCAATGTGGCTACTTGTCACTTTGATCTTAGATAAGGTGTAAACGTGCGTTTCAGAAGTAAAACCTCTGAAACCCTGTGGGTGCAAGGTGCTGCACATAAACCAAGGCTCGTCTGTTAATAATGAGTGAACACAGTTAATGTTTTGTGCAGGCTGTGCAGACGCTCTGCACGGTGCAGCAGGAACATGCCGCGTGATGACGTCACCTAAAGAGTAGCAAAGCTTTGTGGTTAAAGTACTCACTTTCCTGTCCTTCACGTCCTCCGCCACGGCTTCCACCACCCCGGAGCCCTCCATCCCCATGATGACAGGGGGGGCGGGCAGCAGCTCGTACAGCCCCTGTTTGCCCAGCAGCTCGGCGAAGTTCAGCCCGCACGCCCGGAGTCGAACCAGCACCTCTCCGGGCCGCAGCTGCGGCGGCTTCATGCTCTTCACCTGCAGCTTGATTTTATCGTAGCCTCCATATCCGGTGAGCACCAGCGCCCGGGAGGAGAGGAGCTTCTCCTCCTCCTCTGTCTTCTTCACCTCCTCCACGGTGGCAGGACTGCAGCCCGGCTCCTCCAGCTTGGGCTCGTCGGCTTCCTTCACCTGCTCAGGTTCTTCCTGAGGAGCTGCAGCCTCTTCACCAGACATGATGTCGGCGGGTTTCACGACTCCTAACAGTCACTGGCAGGAAAATAAAAGTTGAAAATAGATTTGTTTTAAAATAATAATAAAAAAGTTTTCATCAACAAGATGCTCCTCACAGCAGAGTGTGGTGAGGTTTGGGAAACCCGTGCCGTTTCTCCTCAGCTCAACAAGTGGTCAAGATCAAGAAGATGAAGTTACAGTACAACTTCCGGTAGAAAATTTCACAATAAAACACCTAAAAGTCTCGTTCTTTCATTCATTCATTCGTTCTTTCTTTCGTACTTTCTTTCATACTTTCTTTCTTTCGTACTTTCTTTCATACTTTCTTTCTTTGGTACTTTCCTTCATACTTTCTTTCTTTGGTACTTTCTTTCGTTCCATCCATCCATCCATCCATCCATCCATCCATCCATCCATCCATCCATACATACATACATACATACATACATACATACATACATACATACATACATACATACACACACACATACATACATAATAGATGTCAGCAAAATGAAGGAGATGATAGTGGACTTCAGGAAACAACATGGAGGCCCTGACTCCATCATCAACATAAACAACGTTGAGGTGTAGCAGTTCAGCAGCTTCAAGTTCCTCTGCGTTCACGTTACTGAAGATCTGCCCTGGACTTTACGTACAGACACTGTGGTCAAGAAAGCCCGACAAAGACTATACTTCCTAAGAAGACTAAAGAAGTTTGGTACGAACACCAACATTTATAGGTGCACCATTGAGAGCCTGCTGACAGGCTGCATCACAGGGTGGTATGGGAACTGCACCAGTCAGAGCCGGAAAGCTCTACAGAGGATGGTGCAAACAGCAGAGGACATCACTGGTAGCAGTCTCCACACCATCGTCTGCGTAAAGCACTCAGCATCACTAAGGACCACACCCACCCAGCACAAGGACGTTTACGTCTACTACCCTCAGGGAGATGGTACAGGAGTCTGCCATCGAAAAGACTCAAAGATAGTTATTATCCACAAGCTGTCAGATTACTGAACTCTCAATAAATAACACTGAACAATTGACAATAACTTTGTACCAAACCACATCTGTGACAACTTATATGTTTATTGCTGCTGCACTATGTGGCTGTATCATGTATGTCACTACCTCTGCAGTAACCAGCCACACAACCTAGTTTATATTAGTCATGTGCAATATATATCATGTGCATTTTAGCTTGCATTACTACCTTCAAGTACTTATTCATTCAAATTCCTCTGACTTGCACTGCTATATTCTATGTTGTTGTTTACTATTTCTCTTTAGGACCTTGTAAATATTATTTTTCACTTTTTTGGTACTTTATTTTTGTACCCTTGTTGCATGCTTTAGTATTTGTTCTTTGTTTTTAGTGAGTTAAATTGGTTCTTCTCATCCTGAACATTTCATTGTACTGTTGACTTTGTGTTAACCTGCATTTGACCAATAAACACAACTTGAGTGGTACTTGGTGTACTGTATATATTTATAAAGTTTTGCTAGATAGCTCTTGTCCTAGCTAAACAGTTTTAAGTTAATTAAACACTAGCTGGCAACACAAAAATAAATAAATGTGACATTTAGTCTTGTTATATTCACAAATATTTATTTATAAAAAGGAAGATAATATAACATACAAAAATGGAAGAGATTAAATTTTTACCCTGATGCATGCTCAATAATCCAGGTAGAAAAAATCCAAAAAAGTTCAATCTGGTCCTCTGGCCATTCAACAAAAACAAAACAAAGCAAAAAAAAGTAATCTAGAAACGTTTCGTCTCTCGTCCAAGAGACTTCCTCAGTCTGAGGTGCTGTATTCAGCTCAGTCTCTTAAATAGAACCTTCTCAGAGTGGATCAACCAGTTTGCTGCTGACAACCAAAACCAGCTGATCACATGGTCAAGAAGGACCATCAGCCTAACAATGGGTCATTAGCACACTGATGGCTGTTTACTACTCACAGAGGACTGAGTGATACTAGCAATCACAGCATTGTAAGAGGGGGACAGTTGAACCCGGAGGCCTCCACCCCTGTTTAATGATGGACGATTTCTTTTCACAAAGATGGCCTCCTTTACTCCTCTCTCAAACCATCGTTCCTCTCTGTCCAGGATGTGAACATCTTCATCC